ATAATCGATTAGTAAAAGTTTGAAAAGAAATTTTTCTTACGTACGCGATCAAAATTGAAATTCTTTATATCTGAAGAGACGATATATATTTCTTTTAATCGTCCAGATAAAGAATTTGCAATACTTTTTTATTTTTTCCATTTTATTTATTTATTTATTTATTTATTTTTCTTTTTTTTCTTTTTTTTTTTTTTTTTTCTTTTTTCCCCCATGCACGAAGTTTCGAGCAAACGATTGATCATATAACGGATGATCCATTATAGCTTTCTTTTTTCTCTCTGATTTCGTAAATCCCCTATGATTCTAAGCGAATGAACGAACTCGCGCTCAAGTTTTTCTTTTTTTTTTTCTTTTTTTTTTTTTTTTTTTTTTTTTTACTTTTGCCCGGACAAATCATCCTACCAGAGAATCCCAGCAATGAAATAATCTGTTGAGCTTCGACTTTTCGGCTTTATTCCTTCCTGTCTCTTTCTTCTTCTTCTTCTTTTTTTCTTCTCTTTCTTACTTTCTTTCTTTTTTCTTTTTTCTTTTTTTTTCTTTTTTTCTCTTTTTTTTTTTTTTTTTTTTTTTCATATATCTCTTTACACCAGCACGACGACGAATAATCTTGTCGATTAATTTTGCTTGTTTGTTTGTTTGTTTGTTTGTTTGTTTGCTTTTTTTTTTTTAACAATAAACACTGTATTCTCTTTATTTCTAAATATATACAATACGTAATACGTCGGATTGTTAACGACAAAATTCTATCAATTCGGATCAGCAACGAAATCGCATTATTTTTTAATTCATCGTTCTTAATCTTTTTACTTGTTTGTGTTTGTATGTGTTTGTATGTGTATGTGTATCTCTCTCTCTCTCTCTCTCTCTCCCTCTTTCTCCCTCTTTTTCTCTTTCTTTTTTTCCCTCCCCAGTTTTCCCCTCTCTCTCTCTCTCTCTCTCTCTCTCTCTCTCATACAGATTATTTAAAAAGAAAGGAGAAGAGACCAATAGCAAGTTTTGTTTAATCGATTAGGAAAAAAAAAGAGAAAGAAAAAAAAACGAAAGAATCACAAGAAAGGATAAAAAAAGGACAATTTTTTTAAGATTTCAATCTTGCTTTTCTGAAACCGATCTCGAAATCCTTCAGCACGAGCTTTTCGACAATAGTACTTATTTGATTTTAATTTGCTTGGACGTTAGATCCGTTCGTTCGATCAATTAAAAACAATTAAAAAATTCATCGTATGTACATATGTACGTACATATATATTCGTGTACATACGTACATGACGTACTTGCACCAACCAATTAACTCGCGCGTTTTTTCTTTTTTCTTTTTCTCGAACTGAACGAGTACGATGAACAAAAAGTGCTCTTCTCTTCGTAGGGAATAAATTTTATCCTCTTTTTTCTCTCTCTCTCTCTCTCTCTCTCTCTCTCTCTATCTCTCTCTTTCTATCTCTCTCTCTCTCTTTTTTTTTTCAATCCCTCCAACCCCTCTTTTCTCTATCTAGTCTTATCCAATTACAGTTGACTGATTGCCATGTAGATTGCATAGATTCTTCTTAGATATAATGTTTAATTCTACGGGATTATTCGAATTTCATCGAAAAGTTCATTATTTTTTTTTTCTTTTTTTTTTTTTTATATTAATTCTTAATTTCCTCTTTTCTACTATCACTATCACTATCTCCCTTTCTCTCCTTCTTTCTCTTTGTCTCTCTCTCTCTCTCCCTCTCTCTCTCTCTACCTGTCTCTATTTCTCTCTCTATTTGTTTCTCTCTCTCCCTCTCCGTTCTTTTTTTTTTCTCCTTTTTTAATTTAGATTTGTATCACATTATTTTAACGAGAATACTGTTTTCCCTTTTTTTGTCTTCGGCTTAATATATATTTTTTACGAAATAAGAAATAAATATTTTTCCTTTCCTTTATCTTTCTATTTCTTTTCTTAGCATTTTTTTATCATTTTTTTTTTATCCTTTTTATCTTAGATATAGTATTAACGATAATAAGTACGTATGTGTCGATACGTAGATATATGTTCACACAAGCGCAAACACACAAACACTCACATATATATATATATATATATATATATATATATATATATATATGCGTTTCTCTCTTTCTCTCATTCTAATAGTTTACTATCGATCAAGATTTTCCTTCAAGTGAGAAAATATTTTTCACTTGTCTTCCTTTTTCTGAAGGGAAACATCATATCCTTATCGACGATTAAATTATTGATTCTTATCTATCGTACGAGATTTCCAGCCTCGAGCGTTATGATATCGAGAAACCTCTAAGAACCTTAACACCTCTCGATCTTTGATAGATCATCAGAAAGAGAGAGAGAGAGAGAGAGAGAGAGAGAGAGAGAGAGAGAAGGAGAGAGAGAAAGAGAGAGAGAAAGAGAGAGAGAGAGAGAGAGAGAGAAAGGAAAGGTTAAAAAGTGAAAGAAAGGGATGGTGCAAGAGGAGGAGGAGGAAGAGGAGGACGAGGAGAAGATGTTGAAGGAGGAGGAGGAGGAGGAGGAAGTGGACAAATGACGACCATCCATCTCTTTGTTTTCTCCAAAGGAAAATTTTCATTTTTTTCATCGTTATTTTATCGTTTCATTGCCGCACCACCGAATCGACGTCCACGTCTCACAATTTTTACATTTTGTCGATTCCGATAAGAAAGAAAGAAGAAAAAAAAAAGAAAAAAGAAAAATGACGACAGTCTCTTTGAAACGACAGCAAAATGAGACACGAAAAAAATAAGAGGTATGGTGGGTAGTGGGAGGGAGAGAAAGAAAGAAAGAAAGAAAGAAAGAAAGAAAGAAAGAAAGAAAGAAAGAAAGTAAGATAGAGGAAGTGAGAGAGAGTTAGAGAGTGTGTGTCCTTTATTCGAGATGGTCTCGCTTCCTGATTTCATTTTTTTTATTTTTGCTTTCTTCTTTTTTTTTCCTTCCCTCGTCTTTTCTCGTCCCCTTTTAGTCTTATTTTTTTTCCTTTTTTTCTTTTTTGTCTTTTTTTTCTTCTTTTCAACTCATTTAATTTCATATTATTTTGCAACTTTTAACCATTGTTTTCACTTTGCTCTTTTTTCTTCTTCTTCTTTTTTACTCTTCTTTCCTTCTTTCGTTTTCTTCCTTTTTTTTCCTTTTTTTTTTTTTTTTTTTCGTTCGTTTGTTTATTTATTTATTTTCTCTTATTCTTTCCTCCCCGTTCGACGTTCGCCTTCAATGGCGATCACGAGACTGGAAATCTTACGATTGTATGCTTATATATTTATATGTATATATTTATATATATATATATACGCATATATAAAGGATTCACTGACTGCAATAACGAGTTACTTGTCTCAATACGTTAGATTTATAGTATTTATAAACTTATATGCATTGTAAATTGTTAACAGGCCGTGGCTATACAGGGCCCACTGCGTTGATTTTCTCTTCAGTCTCTGTGGCACGCGGTCTTCCGAATGTGTATGTGTGTGTGTGTGTTATATATATATATATATATATGTATATATTTCTTTGAGCGTGTAAATAGATGTGTATACGTGTGTGTGTGTATGTATATATATATATGTTCCCTCTCTTTCTCTCTCTCTCTCTCTCTCTCTCTCTCTCTCTCTCTCTCTCTCGCTATCTATCTATTTATGTTAATGTATTCGTGTGTCCATATGGGCGCGTGTCCCTCGTTTTTCTGTGATTGTGTGTTATATAGTCGAGAGTATAATAATGGCACCAGCATATGTATGTATCAGTGTACGTGTACGTGTACGTGTGTAAGTGTGCATGTTCGTGTGTGTTTCCGTAATTCTCCCTCACGTTCTCTTTCGATGTGAAAGACAACGCGAAAGAGTTTTCCCATCACTTTCACGTCCGAACAACTTGTTGTCCCACATCGTTTTTTTCCTTATGACGAAGTACTCCCCTACCGCCGTCGTCGCCGAGATTCTTCTTCATTTTCATCCTCTACATTTGTCCGCCGTTTTCCCAATCTTCGAAAGAGTTATCTTTCCCTTCGACTTTCCCCTCTCGCTTGGGGTTCACGTGACCGATCAAAAATCGGCCTTCCCCCCTGTCAAAAAAAAAAAAAAAAAAGAAAAGTAACGTTCATTCCCATTTTTCGATTAAGATAGAATAGTTTCGTGTCTTCAAACTCTGTTCAACTTTTTATTCCATTATCCATCCATCCATTAAGCTAATCTCGTTCATTCGATATCTATTTGTCTATCTATCTATCTATCTATCTATCTATCATCATCTTTCATTCTTTCGCTATTTCTTTCTTTCTTTCTTTTTCTCTTTCCTTTTTTTTTTCTTCTTCTTTTCTTTTCTTTCTCGCAATCAGAACGCATCTCTACTAATTCGAACCCACGGTATCCTCGCCTCGATAGAGGTAAGCGGACCAGTAGGTTAGGTTGAAGAGGATGAACATGAGGGGAAAGGCTGCGCGCGATATGAAGTCGATTCTAGCGCTACCCTTGGCCTTGCAGGACAACCATCTGCACGTTAATAGACCCCAACAGCACCTCATCGTACGCGACGAAGAAAATTGCGGGAAATGATGAAAACGTTGAGGTGGTGCCGGCCTAACGGGTGCCGACGGTGGCGACGGGGTCGCCGTTCTCGACGGCGGTGACAAAGATGGCGACTGCGAAGATCTCGTTGAGCTTCTACAGGAATGCCTGGAGGTTCTTGGCGAGTAACGATCGTCCTCGAGCGTCTGTACGGGCGAGTACGACGACCCTGTAGATGTTTGTTGGGATGGTAGAAGTGGTGGTGGTGCGTGTAACGTTTGCTGTTGTTCTCTATGATGGTGGTGGTGATGGTGGTGATGATGGTGACGATAATGATGTCGACGTTGTTGTTGTTGTTGTTGTTGTTGTTGGTGTTGTTGTTGTTGTTGTTGTTTTTGTTGTTGTTGCTGCTGCTGCGATGGTTGCTGCTGCTTCTGCTGCTGCTTATGCTGCTGCTTTTGCTGCTGCTGCTGCTGCTGCTGCTTCTGTTGCTGTTGTTGATGCTGATGTTGATGTTGATGATTGTGTTGGTGATGGTGATAGTGTCGATGTTTAGGACGCGAACGATGTGTTCTTTCGTGGGAATAATGGTGGGGATGGCCGCGAACCACATCCCTTGATCCGAGCGCTTCCTCGTCGAGATTTACTCGCCCTCCGCTTCGTCCCGGAACAGGTACGTGGACCAGTACGCCAGGTTGAAGATAGCGAATACGATGGGGAAGAAAATTCGTGAGATGACGTCGATGCGCTTGGACCTCGTCGGGAACTTGGACAGCCACGACCTGCAGCAGTTTTTTTTTCGCGGTTGCATATGTATTTCGCACTGCTGCATCTTATCCATCGACATGGTATCCTCCGGGTGTTGGACCAGAGGCTTCTGAAAGAATTCGGTCGGTATTGAACCGTTAGTCGACTGAGCTAAGGTCCGTCCCCCTTTTTTTCTTTTTTTTTTCTTTTTTTTTTCTTTTTTGATTTTCTCTCTTCCTTTCCTGGCCGTCGAGCAGGCGTTTCCCTTTCCTTTATTTGACAGCTATCCCTTGATATCTTTTCCGTTTCTCCTGTCAATTCCCGCTCGACTGCCAGGGTCAATCTTGTCAGGACCATATAGCCTTTCTACTATGTCTCGGTTGGATCGTTTGAATGGATTGTCGATTGAAATAGATGCGGGCGGTGATAATGAATTAATCATTCATACTGGCCATTAACAATGAAAAATTGTTAATATCCACTAAGAATAAAGAGCAAATCTTCATCCATATTTGAACCTTATCTTCGTGTTAACGCATTTGCGATTTTGAAAGTTTTATAATCGAAACAAGATAAAATGGTATGCGATAAATGCTTTAAACGACGTTAATTTATTTGTCATCAATTTGAAAAAAATTCTTGATTACAAAATGATCTCTTTCTAACGTTAAAATGAACGAGTAATTAACGAAAACGTGATAAAAAACGGATAAAACTTTGTTCTATGCTCCAAACGATACATACAAAATGTAATCGGATCGAAAGTTCAATTCTCAATTTTCAATTATTTCTATATATATTTTTTAACGAAAAATCGATGTTTATAAAAAGAAAAAAAAAAAAAAAGAAAAGAACAAAAGGAAAAAGAAAGAAAAAATTCGCAGCCGGTAATTTTAAATTAGAGCGAAATCGCTATCCGAAAGGTCGCTTACGTAAAATTTTCAAACGTCCATAATATAGAGTCCCAAAGGGTTTTGCCATTTAATTTGAATGAAATGACGCATAGGAATAGGTTATCATGGCTTTTCTCAGCTATAGATATCGGGCGCAATTGAATCGAATGCATTAAAAATTGAATTGTCCATTCGATTATTGAAGCAATGACGTCGTTCTCATTCGATACGATTCTCTATCTTTATCGAAAGTGCGTTAACCATCGTTGATAGTTCATTATTAAATAATGATTTGCAAGGATGGATACTGACCATAGCGAAATTCGCCGAACCGTCCGCGTCGAGGACCTCCGATGTTGGATCGACCGAGGAGGAGTGTTCCATCTCACTCGGTGAGAATTTTTTATTTATGTTGTCACTGTGCATATCGCTGCGCGACGCATAATTCACCAGGGCGAATTCGAGAAGCGCACCAAATACAAAGGTCAGGCATACCCCCGTCCAAACGTCGATGGCCTTTGTGTAAGAGACTGGTGGCAGTGAGGCATTTATTCCCGATGTCTGTGTGGCCATCGTCAATAGTGTTGTCACGCCTGAATAAACATATACAAAAATTATTATCCAATTTTAATCAATCCCATTTCGATTTCCCGATGAGAGATACGTCACGTATCGAGAATCAATAACGAGATAATCAATTCTTGCCAATTATGTGTATAGAAGGATGAATCTTTGATTACGTTTGGGTATCTTTCACGTTTCGAATTCGACATAGGGTATACGTATGTTTTAGGAAATATTTAAAAGATATTCGTGAAAAATGATTATAGTTCTTTTTTTTTTTTTTTTTTTTTTTTTTTTTCCTTTAGATTAGTTCCAATCATTATTATATATCGTATAATAAAGGAAATACGATCGTCTATAGACTCTCGATGTATGACGTATTATCGATTCATACTATTGACCTAACGATACTCGAGCAGGTACGGCACTTTGATCCAGCCAAAAAGAGACCCAGGAGACAATGACGAGCATGCAGCAGGGGATGTAAATTTGGATGAGATAGTAGCTGAATTCTCTTTTGAAGAGCAGGTCTACTTTCAGGCAACTATACTCTCCTGAAAAGTTAATGAAAAATTCGATTTTGTTTGTTTGTTCCTTTTTTTTTTTTTTTACCCTAACTTTTTATCCATTTCGTATATACGCAAATTATTTCCATAGACGCCACAAGCGTTTTATTCGTACTATTATTACTCACCGGTATTGGTTCTACTGTTGCAATAATCGGTGAGAAATTTTTCAAGGGTGAACCTAGGCAGGTGTAAGTTCTTAACAACCTGGACGGGATCACCTTCTTTCCAAAGGAAGACCAAGTCGGTAGTCGTCCATCCGTCTAAAAAGAATGTTCACCAAAAAGAAAGAAAGAAAGAAAGAAAGAAAGAAAAAAAAAACACGAAAAAAGAAAGAAAAAGAAAAAACGTTTCGTAAGTATTATCCGAATTGATTACAACTGATATAATTATTTACTACGACTAATTTATTTTTAATTTAAACTTACAACTGGCCATGCGTAGCGAGCAAACTTGTTTGTCCAGAGGATACAATTTCAAATTCATGGGGCACGAGAGTGTCAATGATATTCTGCGGGAAGATTACGTGAAACTTTGACGATGGATTTATGTATCGTGTGAAATAATTAAGGGATGCGCCGCATCGTTAGAACGTTTATGGCTCATCGATGAACGAGAGAGATAATTGTTTTGTATTGTTTGGAATAATTTTATAGAGTAATAATAATAATAATAATAATAATAATAATAATAATAATAATAATAATAATAATAATAATAATAATAATAATAATACGTACCGTATACTGTAAAGAACCGAACCATTTGGAAAGATTCGTATATAAACGTTGGGCATAATAATATTATGAAAATGACCCTCCTTCTCATTTGAAAAGAATAAATCCGGCATCCATACGCGATTGGCTTCTGTTAATGTTAAATATCTCAGTCGACCTGAAACATACACGAAATTCGTTTTATATATATTAAATATATCGTTTTATGTATGCATGCACACCTATGACATTATTACGATATCGTCGAAAATGGGAATTCTTCTTACAAAGGAGTACTTTTTATTAAATCATTAAAAGTAACATTAGGATTACGTACCTCCGAAGTCATTAAATTTAAGTCTCTCGTCTAACCATTGTTCCCGAAATGTTAATTGTACGGAGTATTCCTGTAGGCACATAATCGTATTTCAGAAACACAGAGTTCAACAAAGTTAATAACACGGGGTAGATGGGGACGCGATTATTGGGTTATACGGAGAGTAGAACTACGAGCAAGAAAAATAAATAAATATATGGGACAAACGATAAGAGCACTTTTTTAATTAATGTTAAAATTTAATGCATTTTTGCTTTCTTTTTTCTATTTCTTTTATTTTTTTTTCTTTTTTGCCTCTTTTCTTTTTTTTTTTTTTTTTTTTTTTTTTTTAATTAACGTTCGAAATGCACGGAATCAAAATGAAATTTCTGTGACAGAGAGCAATTAAAGTTAAAAGTTTGATGTACTCTTACGAAGATTTTCCTGATTTAATTATCGCGATCGTCATTTACACATCGAATTTGTTGAATTTCAATTGCACTAGAAATCGATAAATTTCTAACGCAAATCGTTGTTGTTGTTATTATTATTATTATTATTATTATTATTATTATTATTATTATTATTATTATTGTTATTATTGTTATTATTGATAGATTGAAATTTGACATGACGTTAATTTCGAACTAAGTTATCCATGAATTTTTTTTAATCAATACTAAAGATAAGTAATATGGCAAGGCAATTAAAAAATGAAAAAAGAAAATAAAACTAAACGAACAAACGGGATCTATTATAAATTTATTGATTACTATCTTACGAATTGTACCTTTAAAAAAGTTAATAAGTCTTTTGTTCAAAGTGAAATAAAAATTTTTGTAAATTTGAACATCTCTAACTAACAGCAACGATTTGACGATAATATCTGTCAATCAACAAAATCGATCTATTTTTAGTAAAATCAAACATTCAACAGTAAATTCCGTTGACCTCGTTAACATCATTAACGAACTTGCCGGAATTATTGATCCGTGTTCATCGTTCGTAATTATCTTAATGATTTATAAATTTGTCAAGAATCAATCTCTGTTACGAAGAGCGCGAAACGGGGGAAACGTTAAGCAAACATTTTTTATGCAACTTTTCTTTCTTTTTTTTTTTTTTTTTTTTTTTTTTTCTGTTAAATTAATTACATTCAATCATTCCTATTGGATCAACGAAAATTCATTATTATTCTTTATCCTTACGAATCTTCCTTTCGTTAAGCCGATCATAAAAGAAAAAAAAAAAGACAAAAAAAAAAAAAAAGAAAAAAAAAAGAAGAAAAGAAAAATCGTCCATTTTATTTTATTTTATAATTCTTCTTCTGTCTCATATCGAATCGTCATGATGCAATGAAATAATGCAATGCCTCCAGTCGAGATTTTTCTTTCTCGTTAACTCGGTCAACGTTCTCTTGAATGGTCATTTAATTTGACGCCGCTGAGAAGTCATTGGCGCCTTGCTTTTCTTTTTTCTTCATTTTTTCTTGTATTTCTTTTTTCGTTTTCTTTTTTCTTTTCCTTCTTTTACTTTTTTTTTCTTTTTCTTTTTTTTTTTTTTCCTTTTATAATCTAACAACATTGTACGGACTTTTGCGTTCTGTGCAGGATCAATCCTCGATCGCAGCGATAATTGATACTGCACTTGGATGACTCGATGAAAAAATAAATGATTTTTATATTATGCATATATATATATATATATAAACTTATATATAGTTATATATATACATTTTTTTTTTTATGTAAATTATTATCACATTATGTATGTGTTTTTGAGAGAAGAAAATCACTGTACCTTTTTTTAACGAAGTCCTTGAAACAACTCAATATGGTATTGCCTTATCATTATCTATGAACTCAGTCATTTTATCGAAAATCAAATTAATTTTCGTTCGACTTATCGTAGGAACAAATAAAAATGATAAATCGAACGTACGTAGCGATAGAAAATAATCCTGACTTTTTGTCGTTTAATTAATTCATTCGTGTATCATCATTAAATAGAAAAAGAGATATAAAGTAATACAAGATAACGCAAAGGATAGAAAATTTGTTTTGAGAATTCGTGATAACGTTTTCTTTTCTCTTTTGATCTCTAATTTAAACAAATATTAAAAAGAAATTAAACGATAGATAATAATTAAATCATTCTGGCGACGAATTGGTTCATCATTAAAAGATTCGTATTGGAAAAAGATAAAGGTGTTAAAAAAAAAAAAAGAAAAAAAAAAGGAAAGGAAAAAAAATCATTGGAATTAAAGAGTTTCTTTTCATCTGATCAGTTTATAAAAGTTTATAAAAAAAAGAAGAAGAAAAAAGAAAAATTCATTTTTTACGTCACTTCGTATAATAAACATACAGGTTGTTCGTAATATATATATATGTATATATGTATTTGCATGTATATACATATGACATAAGTATCTATATGCACTCGTGAGTTGGCAAATCAGGATGTCCCAAAGGACATAACGTGAAGACACGCAAAGAGCTCATCTAAAGCTCGTTAGAAAGTTAACTAAGCTAGCTTTCCCAGCTTTTATTAGAAATTGTGATCTCGCGTTGATTGTTCGCCAAAGGTACAGTGATTTTTCTTCTTCATTTCTTTTCTTTTCTATATTTTGTTTTCTTTTTTTTTCTTTTTTTTTTTTTTTTTTTTTTTATATATTCGTGCTTTCTTATTTGTACTCTTCCTTTTTTTTCTTTTTTTTTTTTTTGTTCTTTCCCTTATTTTTATCTTTTTTTTTCTTTTCTTTTCTTTTCTTTTTTTTTCTTTTTCTTTTTTTTGTTTACTCCATCCAAAGTACAACGAAAAAGTACGTACATACTACGTCGACTACCCCGAGGAAGCGGAGAAGCGACATAGTAGAAAAGTTCTCTAACATGGCGGGTGTTTAGTTTGCTAGAGATTTTCTTTTTTCTCTTTCTTTTTTTCTCCTTTTCTTTTCTTTTTTTTTTATTTTTTTCTCTTTTTTTTTTTTCTATATTAATATTTTTCAGTTTTTTCTTCCTCCTTTCATCCTACTATTCTCTCTTTCTTTTTTTTTGTTTTTTTCCTTTTTTTTTCGTTCTTCCTTTTCAATTGTTTTTAGTCCTGATTTTTGGAAAAGAAAGAGGGACTAGTTTAGAAGAAGAAGAGAAAAAAAAAAAAAAAAGAAAGAAAAAAGAGAAAAAGAAAGAGAAGAGTCAAAAGAAAAAAAAAAGAAGGGGGAAAAAAGAACGAGGAAAAAGCATTCCAAGGCGATCAAATGCACGCATGACTGGGTTCGAACAATCATTTTTTTTTTTTTTTAAGGATTGATTATCATTTTGTTTAAATCAAGGAGAGAGAACGAGGAATTGCCAAGGTGTATGGAGGCGGAGGCTAAGAAAGTTATACGTTACGTTGTGTTATGTTACCTTTCTTTTCTTTTCTTTTTTTTTTTTTTTTTTTCTTTGGTCGAGCAAAAGATTTAGCTAGAGAAACGAATGAAACTATCGCATGCAGCAAAGAGAGAGATTTACAATCTGTGCCAGAGATATATACAACTAAGATATAAAACTACTACTACCATTACTAGGCTTTAATATCATACCTATACATAAATATACACACATATATATATAATTGCGATTAATTATAGCACGATATAGAAATCGTTAAACACAATGATTAGCTCGAACGATTAAAGCAACATTATATGTAAGTAAGGTATACATAATGTAGGAATACATTATATATGGAGTACATGTATATATGTATATACATATACGTATATTATTAATTATTGTTTATAAGCACTTAAACAAAATAATTTCATGCATATTATTGGCTCACGGTTCACAGTTATAGATCCAGCTTCGGATGGACCGTCCATAGGCTGCGTTCCGTTCGTTCCCTATTTCAGAGGGGGGAAGGGAGAGAAGTGCTTCCACTTTTTTTTTTTTTTTTTTTACGTGTGTTTCTTTACTTTTTTTTTATTTTTTTCCTATATTTTATGTTTTCTCTTTTGCCATCTCTCATTTCGATCTATAGAAACTATCGAATCGCTAAATTCTCTGGAAAAAAAACTCGTTCTTCCATGAACGTGTTTGCTTTTTTCATCTCTATGAAAAAAAAAGAGACGAAGAAAGAGAGGATTACTGGTGATTGAAGGTAGGGGATGGGTGGGATGGGGGTAGGGAGAAAGGTCGAAGGTGATTTTGGTGGGTTTAAATGCTATATATAGTCTCGAGAATTTCGAACGAATTTCAAAACCGATCCGTTTGGTCCGGCTCCTTTTTTTTTTCTTTTTGTTTTTTCTTTTTTTTTTTTTTCGTTTCATCTTTAAACACGTTCGATTTCATTTTTACATGTACGATTTTATTATTACACGTTCGATTTCACTTTTATATTCGTATTTCTTTTTTTTTTTTTTTCTTTTTTTTTAAACGATATCAATCGCGTTCGTTCATTCGTTAATTCGTTCGTTCGTTCGTTCGTTCGTTCGTTCGTTCGTTCGTTTTCCGCAACTCTTGTTATCCTTTTAAAATCATTTTTTGTCCGCTAAAAAGGGTGGTACGTTAGTTCGATGAGAAATTGTAAAACGCTTTGTAAAATCTCTGAAGATAGAAAGATAGAGAAAGAAAGAGAGATTGTTGATTAACAAAGTCTCCTTTTTTCCTTCTCTTTTTCTTCTACTTCTTCTTCTTCTTCTTCTTCTTGAATTTTCTCTCAGAAATTCCTTTCAGTATGGGTGATGTCGTTTGGGGTAGGGGAAAAAAAAAAGAAGAAAAAAGGAAGAAAAGAGGAAGAAAAAAGGAAGAAAAAAAAAAAAGAAAAAGAAAAAGAAAAAGAAAAAGAAAAATTCCGTGAAGAGCATTGTTCCGGCACGCGAGGTCTAAACTCGAGATTATTCATTCCGCATTACGTAATTAAGGCGACTTACATACGTCTCCTCCATTCAATGCTGACTGACTCGCGCTCGGTGTAGTTCTCTGTATTTTCTCTTTTTTTTTTCCCCTCTCCCCCTCCCTCCTTCCCCCTTCCTTCTTCTCTTTTTCCTTTTTCCTTTTTCTTTTTTTTTTTTTTTTTTTTTTTTTTTCTTTTTTTTAATACTCGCCTCGA